CACATATGGATCATCGGACTAGTGGATCATCGGACTAGGATGAGTCAGGGTTTAGGTGGCGAGGTCAATGACGGCATTGCTCATGTGTGCTTAAACGAGGGATACGAGGTTAGATTATTAGAATAGCATCTACTACCTCAAGGATCTTCAATAAAGGAGAGGGAAGGATCCATGATACTATTCGCCGATGCTTGGTGGATCGTTGCCCCTGACACTCTTAGGTTGTCAGTAGTTCTAGCACGATTGGAGTGACTAGCCTGTGAACTGTACGATTTTACAAAATATTTACAAAAATAAAATAAAATTTTCTTTTGCATGATTAAAAGAACTCTGCATAAAAAAGACTTAAATAATAAGTTTTGCATGAAAATCTAATAATTTTTTTATGAAAATTTATAAAAGTCCATGATTAGTCATTTGGATTGAGGTTAAGAACTACCTCCTGTAGATTGTTGGGTCGGTAACTCTTATTCAAGATCAAGAAGCACACAGCCCAGCTCTGAGACTCCACTTTTACTAATGTCTTATACTCAGTCCTGATCTGTCTTATGTGGTTTTAGGTTTCTTTTATTTGATTTCTACTACTCGTTTTTATGACTTTCATGTTGGATTTTCTTATTTTTTTTTGACTTTTGTGCCGAGTTTTCTCGTCTTGTTTAGTTTTCTTGCAATTTTATTTAAATCTCCTGCAAATCATGCTATGCTCGCAACATTAATAACGCAACAGTGGCAGATGCCTAGGTACGTTTTTACAGTTTATTTACAACATTTTACTTTATTGTATTTTACCTTTCAAGTACAATTTATTTACCTGCAATTTGTTTATTCTCCATGCAAAACCAAAGTTGAAACAAAACGAAACCAAACATTGACACCAAAACTGTGAAACACAAACTACCAATCTCAAACACTTAAACCTTGGAGTTGTCACGACGACAGGAGCTTGGAGCCAACTTTGTGGCCAACACGGTGAGGAATGCAGACCAAGCAGCAAGAGGATCTTCTTCAGCATTATCCTTCCCTAGTATAATAACAACCCATAGGACTTTGAGGAAGTTCGCCTAGCGCGACGTAAATCTTCGCTCTTTTTTTAGACTCATGTACAACTATGTTGTGCAGCGTAAGTCCTAACCCGCCTTAGGTTCTGAGGTTGTCGTGTGACACGACATAAACTCTCTTATTTCTGCGGGTTATTTGCATAATCGAGTGTTATGCATATGTAAGTCTCAAATAATAAAATTGACAGGATCAAACACTTACTTAACTCGTCTCTAAAATGCAACCGCACAGTAGGATAGTTTAGGAGGTCACTGAGGATTCCCCTCAGAATCTGTGACATCCTCTACCCTTTAGTTTCTTTGGACTCCTGAAAGGATTGTTCTCACTTGAGCCACTCTCACTTGTTTTTCTGACGTCCTACCTTGAAAACCTGAACATTGAATTCTTGAAGACTACAACCACTGATCATTATCGAGAGTTTTGACTCCCGTCACTTGGGATGTAATTAACTCTAACTGGTGTCACTCTAATCAACTTTAACACCCCCCATGACATTTAAATAATCATAAAAAATAGTTTTCGCAAAATTAAATGGATGTCATGAATTCTTTAGTTTATTTAATTGAGTATTACCAGTAAGTAGTGTGTCTACCCATTGGGATAGATGCATTTCTTGCGGCATTAGGCTCATTTATTTAAACTATTAAGGATAATGAGATCCATTTGGTCTAATTTTTCAAAAATTAAAAATACTACTTTCAAAACCCAAATTATATATCTATTATATTAAATTAAATTTCAAAAATTATTTTCATAACTCATATTTTCAAAATCTATCGAAAAAGTTGACCGACAGTGCACTATGTAAGGAAGGAAATAGGCGAACAAGGCTTCTAGCGTCAATTTCATCAACGATGGAAAAGGAAGGCAAGAATCGTAGAACAGAGAATTGATCGCAGCAAAGGGGAATCGATCGTGTGTGCACTGTGCAAGGAAGCCAACAGACGAGGCCTCTGGGTCGATTTTGTGAACGAAGGAGACAGTTTTGGAACGCAACGACCTGTTCTTGCGCACGATAATCAGAGCGAATAGGAGCGAACATAAGAGAACGGTTCGGCTTTAGTGTCACACATGAGGCAGGGAGGAAGAAACAGTGAGCGTGAGTGCTTTGAACAAAAGAGACCGTGAAGGTGCGTGGAGAGGCTCACCAAACGACCTCTCCTCTGGAAAACTCCGGTCTCACCACTACAACACCGTCTAGCAAGAAGGGGGTGCGTATCTTTATCGGAGGTTTGTCAGGGGAAACAACGAAACGGAAGCTCGGTGTTGCGTTCGGCCAATTCGGCAAGGTTCTACACTCACAGATTATGGTTGAAAGAGTTATAGGGAGGCCTCGTAGATATGGATTAATGAATTTTGCTGACATACGTACAATAGAAGATGCTATCAGAGAGATGCACAATAAAGAGCTGAACGATCGACAAATATCAATCAACAAGACCAAGCCAAATGTGGGCTCGGATGATTCAGGCTACAAGTGGTGGTAGCTACTAATCTAGTGAAGCAAGTAAGGAAAATTCTCTTCTCGTTCTAGAATTGGTAGAAGTGACTAAGGAGACTACTGGACAACTCTGATGGTAGCAAAGAACGAGGGAAAGGCATGGGTAGTCCTTACTGACGAGGATCACGAGTTACTGGAGATGTTGAAGAAAAAGCAGACACCTTCATTATGAGCCAATTCAAAACTCTAATTAAGGTACTTTAGACTGACAATGGTCGTTAGTTTTTTAACTCTATTTTAGGTGAATTTTTTGTGATAAATGGCAACCTCCATCATAGCTCATATACAGACACTTAACAAATTTGGATAGTCGAGAGAAAAAACCGACATATCCTCGACGTTGCTCGCTCCATTGTGTTTCAATCTAATTTTTTAAAATTTGGAAAAGCTCGCAAATGTAGTAGTGGGTCATCATTTTATTCTGGCTCAATTAGATCACACTCTCTTCTTCTGGCAGTCATTCAATAGTCAGATTGATACTCTTATCATCTATGTCAACGATATTATGCTCACAGGAAATGATCTAACGGCATTAAAGTTTTTTAAAGACATTCTAGTTGTGTCCTTTAAAATGAAAGAGTTAGTATCCCTCTGATACTTCTTAAGAATGGAAGTTATTTAGTCATCTTGGGGCATTTGTCTGTCTTATGATTAATTTGTTAACACAGAACAATTTGCTTCTCTGCGAACCGGTGGCTGTCTCAATGGATTCCAATGAAAAATTATCAGATATTCTAAGTGTTGTTTCTGTTAACAATACTCAATATCAATGTCTTATAAGAAAACTCATCTACCTCGCCAATACATGTCTCGATATATGTCATTAGAGATGTGAAGGAGCTGAGCTTGAGCAAACTCAAACTTGGCTCATGTTCGACTCTTTCGAAATTGGCTTGTGAACAGTGTATTCGTGTTCGGCTCAATTTAAATATTCTTATTTGTGTTCGGTTCAAATTTAACTCATTAAAATTAATTAGAAAAAATATTTGAACCCGCACCAACACAATGCAATAGAAGGCTCAAAACCACATAACCACACAAGCTTTTATGACTTAAAATTAGATATAGATATATATAATACATTATTTTATAAACAATATATATAATGTATTTATTTCAACCTAAAACAAGACGAACATAAGCGAACAAATGATTGTTTGTGTTCAGCTAGTTTATAATTCAAGCTTAAAAAATTTGTTCGTGTTCGACTCATTTATTTAATGAACGAGTCGGACATAGGCTACTTAACGAGCCGAACACAAACTATCACGCGGTTGGTGTAATTAGTCAATTTATGCATGGCCTCTATGAGCATCACCTCCACGATGTAAATCAGATTCTTCACTATTTAAAAGGCACCTCGAGCTTATGTTTTTTTTTCTCGCGCCACACCTCTCATTCTATTATACAGATGTTGATTGGATCGAATAAATCCATGATCAACGATCTACCTCCGGGCAGTGCTCATTTGTGTGAGAAAATCTTTTCACGTGGAAAAGAAAAAACAGTCGATGTTTGCCCTGGGCAATGCTGAAGCTGAATTATAATCATTGTCCTTGGGGAATGTGAAGCTCTCTAGTTACGCAGCATGTTCCGTAAACTGCGCATGCCGACCTCCAACCCTCTGCAGTTTTTATGTGATAATAAGGTCGTCGTTAGCATTGCCCACAACTCAATCCAGCATGATCATACCAAACATGTTGAGATTGACAGAAACTTTATCAAGGGAAAAACTTTAGTCTGAGAAAATTTGTGTTCTTTGTGTACCCTCCAGTGGTCAGCTAGCGGATATCCTCATAAAAAATATTTCTCAGCTACTATTCGACGACTTCAAATTCACGTTGAACATGATTTACATCTATACTTCAACTTGAGGAGGAGTATTTGAATATTAGAATAATAACGATTATCTCTAGACACTATTAATATGCAAATTTTGTATTATATAGTTTATTTGCTTCCCTTATTTTGTTTTTTATTTTTTTTTCCTTATGAGTGCCCCTTGTAATAGGGTTTATATATCCTTTTTTATCAATAAGATATGTTGAATCACTCCAATATCAAATAGTTTTATTAAAATTTTGCTTGGTTCAGTTTTTCAGATTTTAAATTTCAGCTGCAATCAGTTTGATCCATTTGAAAACCAATATATACAAATCAAATGAATGCTCACCTCTATCCTCTTCCTCTCCCCATTCGTCTTCTTCTACCCCCAAACCCTAAACAAAAATAGAGGTGTTGGAGTCCCGATGGGAGCTTGCTGAAAAAGGTATCGACAAAGGTCTGAAACCCTATCTTTCTCCCCCCTTACACTTCTAACGGAAGCGTAGAGGGAAAAACAAGTGAAGAAATATTCGGGGAGCAAGCAAGAGAAGTCACTGACCGTTATTCATTCTATTAGCTAAAGTTCCTTTAATCCGAAGAATCACATGATTTAGATGAAATCATGAGTAAATCCCAGTTATATCCCGCTACATAGAGCAGCTAAACAATACCAATGCAATAGACATGCAAACCGTATCAACGACCTAAGAAAGATCATCCGCCGATCATATAAGAGTAATCCCACCAAGACCAAATCAATCTGTCCCAGACATACGGCAAATAGAACAACAGCTATTTCACTTTCGACCAAAATAAGTTCGTTACACGTGGCTCCGCGTGTTCTCCAATCAAACTCATCAGGCCTACGTTATCGTGCACAAATCAAATGGGAAAGAGAGTATAAAAGTAGACCGTACCCCTCCATACGCTGATTTTGAGAGCTTCTTTGTTGAGGCCGCGGACGTAGTTTCCTAGATACTTCTGGAGAAGAAATGCCACCTGATCCTCTAACATCTTCGCGCCAGTTTAGGGTTCCGGTCGTCGGCGGCGTTGCTTAATCGGAGAAGGGCGATGCAGTTAGAAAACGGAATAGGGTAGATGTTCGCATGCAGGGTCCGGTGGACGAGGGGAAAATTACAGACACTGTAGGCGTGTGGAGGGTTTTGGAGAGGCTCGATTCTGTGTGGCCGGTCATGGAGACGATTCCGGTGGAATGTGGGAAAAAACCATATAATTCCCCCGCAATTACGGAATTGGCCTTATTATTTTACCCGCGGTTTTTTTCTGCGTCTTGTGCTATAACTTATATATATACATAGTCGCGTGAAACATTTGATCCAAGACCAAAATATTACTTTAGAAATTAATGTTAAAATATATTTTATTTATCGTAATAAAACAGAATAATAATTGTGTGGGAAATATTGATTGGATATAGAGTAAAAAGTTGTATGGCATTTACATATATACCACACAATTCTTTTGCATTTACATTTCTAACACCAAAACATGCTCATTTCCACGCATACCACTCAAATTTTTAACCTTACAACAAGAATACCGCCATCAATATTTTCTAAAATGTTAAATATTTTTTTTTCATTTGTAGATTTATAAAACAGTGATATAAATGTAAATATGTGTTGAAGAATTAGGGCAAAGTAAGCGCATGAATCTACACAAGTCGAGAAGAAACATAAAGATTTAACAAGGTTCGGCAATTTGCATGTATCCTCGGGAACAGAGCGATGACTTTTCTTTTAATTTAGAAAAAGAGTGCAATATCACCTTAGGGCTACAATACAGCACATATATATAACTTTGGTGTATAATATATAATTACAAAATTACTCTTGTGTCGTCCCCTCCACTCCCAATCCACGTAACGAAACTCCCTTTGATTAGACAGATGCTTCTGCTCCGCTTACTCGCTCCGTTCCGCTCCAGCATTTGTCCCTTATATGATATATGAGGCATGCTTGATAATATGAAACTTTTGATGTTAAATATGTAAATACAAAGGAATTATATGGTATGTAAGTAAATTTCCCAAAATTTTAGGATTTTAGAATCTTACCTATGAATAAAAATAATAAATAATAAAATTTTAATTCTTCTTATCGAGTTAGATTTTTAAATAAATATAAGATTTACATTTTTAAATAAATAGGCATGTTTGTGGAAAAAATATAATTTAAAATCATTTGGGCCATAATTTTAAAAACTGTAAAATCAAATTGAATTGGTAAGGCACACAAATGTTTTCTTAAATGTCGTCCCATTTAATCACTCGTGGCCGCCCAGTGAAGTGATTTGAAATTATTTCTTATTTGCATGAATGTCTCTTCCAAACTCTACAAATAGATTCATGCCCTCCTCTTGAGATGGGACATAGACCTTAAGTCAGAAGAATATTTAAACTTGGAAGAGCTGAAATCAACATTACTCATGCATCGTATATCATGTGAATACCTCTAGCTTCTTCATTCGCGAACCACCTCCTGTTGCCCATCGCCGACCAGTCTCTGCTAGTTGCAGTGAAGCTCCATACCAAAATAAAACTTCTGTTGCAGTGTGAGAAGTAACAAATGATGACTTTGAGCCACGAAACATCCTACAAAGCAGTGCACGTCTCAAAGATCATGTCAAACACAAATAAAAAACTCCAACAAGTACTCTTAGTTGTAACTGCTATATATTGTGGGGGCAGCGAGTTATTATGTGCACAACCGTTGTAACTTAAAAAACTGTTTAATCATTTCTCGCCTGTTAGGCAATAGTCTAGACGTGAGATCATTAATTTATAGCAGAACATTTCAATTGGGTTGGACTTCGTGATTCGTTTATTTTTAAGATTTTTAGTGTAAAAATTTCTTTTTTATCTGTCATTATTCTGTCGTATCGAATTCTATAGCACACATCAGTATTCAAGAAAAAAAATCAATATTATACGAGTAAAATAATTTACGATGTTTATTCGTATGCAAACTCCAATTAATAATTATTTTTTTTGCTTTGCTTGTGACTCAAATGTTAAAACCTAATAATATATTTTTTTTTTCATTTGGTTTGATTTTATTAAATTAATGATGGTTTCATTACTCATTGGTCACATATTTTTATGTTAATTGTATCTTTACTCGTATAAAAAATAAATTCTATATTTATTTTATATTGAATTATATAATTTTAATTTTTTTTAAGTATGATATATTACGTTTACACTATTTTTCTTTTATTTTCAGCAAACCAAAACAACTCATAAATAACCCTCAATTTTTTTTTGGGGCGTTTTTTACGAAGCTTCAACTTGCTATTTAATTCAAATAATGAAATATTAATCTAAGCGGTGACCTTAGTGGAAAAAAAACGAGGGGCACTTTCGTTATTTAAGATCCAATTATGGATATTTTGCCTGCCAATGGATTAATAAGGCGGTTTAGTAAAGCGGTGGCTCTTGCCAAATGGCAACGCTGAAGAATGCCAGGTGGCGTCTAAAATCCACGTGTATTTCCAATATTGAGGGGTAAAGAAAATAAAGTTGGAATTCAATGAAAAAACGAGGGGCTCTTTCGTTATTTAAGGCCCAATTATGGATATTTTTCCTGCCAATGGATTAATAAGGCGGTTTAGTAAAGCGGTGGCTCTTGCCAAATGGCAACGCTGAAGAATGCCAGGTGGCGTCTAAAATCCACGTGTATTTCCAATATTGAGGGGTAAAGAAAATAAAGTTGGAATTCAATGAACATGTCATTGTGGTTCCTGCGACGGATAATAAATTATTTACGCTTCCGATTCTCGTGCCATGTAAAATTATTTTATGGGCATTTCTTATGTAGATAATTATTCGGAGTTCAATAAAAATAAGTCACGTGTTGATGATAGAAAAAAAAAATAAATAATACTGGAAAATATTTCTCCCCTATTATTATGTATTATTCAGGTGTTATTATATGTTATTCAGATGCTATTGTGTTCTGAGAATATTCTCAGTGTTATAATAGCACAAAAACACATCATAACACTTAAATAACACACAATAACATATGAATAACACGAGAGAAATAATCCTTAGAGTTATCGTGCATTTTTTTTTTTTCTGTCACCGTTAGGTGACATGATTTCATTAGATTACGAACGATTCTCTACATTAGGAGGCCTAAGAGCATAATTTTCTCTCATCTCTAATTATTACAAGTGACGTATAAAATTCAAACCTTTTTTTGTGCTAGGCTTAGGTGACTTATATTTTGTGAATTTATACGATATATTTAAAAATTTATGGCGTTGAAAATAAATATTTTATCATATGTATATATAATTATGAATTGACTCAATTTCTTTAAATGTCATTTGCACATAACAGATAACTCTTATGTGCCTATATTTCTCACACATAAACTTACATATTCGCACGGCTCTCACCAAAATATTTAATATCACATAAAAAAAATTCATTTGCACATAACAGATAACTCTTATGTGCCTATGTTTCTCACACATAAACTTACATATTCGCACGGGTCTCACTAAAATATTTAATATCACATAAAAAAAATTTATTATCATTTTTTAAGGTTAAATATATTTTTTCATGCATAAATTTAAATGACCAATATGCTGTATATAAATATGAAAGTTAAGATTTGAGATATAAAAATATGTAAGAAATGTGTGCTACATATGTAAAATTTTATTTTTTATTTTGTGAATTGATATAATATATTTCAAGAAAACAAGTGAGCTTTCGCGTTGTTTGAATTGAAGACTGTTGCGCCAGAAGATTTGTGGTGATATAGTGGTAATTTAACGCATCAACATTGCACGAATATTAAACATACACACAAATAATAAAAAATTGGCAATAGGATAATCCAATATTATTGTACGTTGAAAAATCATGAACATCCCCCCTAAATAAATATCAATAATTGAGTTACAACAAACATAATGATTATAATTATAATAACAGTAGTTAGTCATAAAGGTTATAGCTAGTTGATACAAAGGTAATATTTGGCAATAAATGTTTTTGTTTGTGGTTGCAATAACGACAATTGATCATAGAAGTCGTAGGCGCTAGTTGTAATAGTAACAATTGACCATAAAAGTCGTAGTTGGAAGTTATAATGGCGTCAGTCAGTTATAAAGGTTGTGGTTTGAAACTGCAATATCGTCAGTTGACCACGTATATCATGGTTGATGAATGCAGGGGCATTAGTTGGTCACAAATGTCATAGTTGAAGATTGCAATAATGTCAGTTGGCTGTGTACGGCGTAGATGAAAATTATAATGACAATTGGTCATGTTGATCATAATTGATCACGTAAATTATAATTGGAAATGTATTTGTGTTAGATGGTCACAAGGTCGCAGTTGAAAGCTTTGGTGACAATTAGCCACATATGTTATAGTTGGTGACTGCATTGACAGTTAGTCGTAGTTGGTAGCCACAGAAGCAGTTGCCCACATACATTACGGTTGTTCGCATTGGTTTTAGTTGATAGCTACAACGGTGTGATTTGGTCATGCAGGTCTTAGTTGGAAGCTGCAGTAATAGTTATTCAGATAGGTCGCAGTTGGTAACTGTGGTGAGAATTGACTCTAAATGCGACAGTTGTTGCAACATCGGTTGGTGGTTGCAACCCTTTTAGCGGGCTTACTATATTTTACTTGAGACAACTTGTTGGTATAAGACTTATTAAAAAGAATTGATAATGAGCCCATAACTGCAAAAAAGCCCGAGCTTACTGTTGACATGCCACACAACCAGTCATCGAAAAAATGTATAAGTAATAATAATCATATTCAACAAATCATCCTATTGTTTCGAATTGAAGAGCCGAGCTTATTATTTAATAACATCCCAAGATTTAATAATCAGTAAACTCAAATTTAACCGCTTAACAAAATAACAGATAAATCTGTAACTCATAAATCCAAAAAATAATTGAGGTATTAAAAAACATGAATCATAAACCTCATTTCATGCTCTTACACGATTACAAAAAATGTGAATTCATATCCCTTATAAGGGAAGAGTTAAGTAAAAAATGCACGCCCTCTATCTGCATCGAATATGTGAAAATCTCATTTTGGTGGAAAGTATAATCTTTAAACTGACATATACACCCTACACCTAATCAATAAAAAAAATCCACATAGTTTGAAAGCGAAAAAATGAAGCAGTACAAGCACTAGAAAGTTAAAAATCCTCACTGAGCAAATCAAGAGCATCAATGACCGAGGGGAAACATTCTTCTAATCCTATTTAAATTTCAGAAAAAAGAACTTCCATCAAATCGTTCAAATACATGGACGCTTTCCCGAAAATCCATTCCTTTTCTGAATTTCTGACTTTTTTTTTATGCTTCTTCACCAAAAGAACTCAAGCCACTTCTTGCATCTTCTTCTATTCCCCTTGACGAAGGATCTCCGCCACATAGTCGAGCTCAAACTTCATATTGGAGATTTGGTTATCCCTTTCAAAAGTACAAAAAAGACCCCGGGGGTGTTTGCAAAGCTCTACCTTCATTCATGAACAATCGTTCATAGAACCCGAAGGAAAGTAAAATCGTTCAAGTCTTAATAAATTTTAGAATTAATGTGTTATTAGATTTCTAACTTACCTTTTGTACATGAACTTTGGAAAAAATGCAAAAGAACCGTATATCCTGATCCCTCAAAATAGTGCAAAAGAGGAAAATATGCTAATACCCTCGTCCCTGAAAATAGTTCATAAAACTCATTTCTCACATCAAAGACAGCCTAACTTATGAAAATAAACTCGTCAACGGATCTCAACACTTGGGAGGGGTGAAAATAAACCCCTTTTCGGTGGAGAAATTGAAGCACCTGAAAAAAAAAACATATTATATGATGGATATCACAAAATCAGAAACTAAAACTGAGAAATTATATCCTTCGTAAGATAAGCTGATGAGACTTAAGGATAAAACGACTTATTCTAAAGATAAGCCTTTACCTTCATTTGTGAACAATCGTTCATAAAACTCGAAGGAGAGTCAAATCATTCAAGTCTTAATAAATTTTAGAATTAATGCTGTTTTAGATTTCTAACTTACCTTTTGTACCTGATCCCTGGAAACAATGCAAAAGAACATAATATCATGATCCCTAAAAATAGTGCAAAAGAAGATAATATGTTGATACCCTAATCTCTGAAAATAGTTCATAAAACTCATTTCTCACATCAAATACACCCGAACCTATGAAAACAAACTCGTCAATGGACCTCAACAGGTGGGAGGGGTGAAAATAACAGTTTTTTGGCAATGAAACCAAAGCACCTGAAAAAAAAAGTATATCATGTGATGGATATCACAAAATCAGAGACTAACACAGAGAATTTCTATCATTCGTAAGATAAGCTGATGAGATTTAAGGATAAAGCAACTTATTCTGAAGATAAGCCTCTTCCTTACCTTCATGTTCTCAAAGAAATCAATTTATTTTCAATATCTCATTATTCTGGGGAACATCCAGTCATAAATACGAGAGAATTAAGGAATTGAATTTACACACAAATACAAAAAAAAATGATTTTTATCTAGAATAATCGAGGCCACCTATGGTAGTAGCAGAATTGGGGCCACATACTGAGCAGATTGACCAAAGTGGTCGAATAAAGCTTACCCAGCGAAGTGGATGAATGGAGCCCGTATGTCAAAAAGGCTGATCCAGCTTTTTGCCGTCCTCCTCAAGGAACTGACTTAGACATATTATGGTGGAGGTAGCAAATTGAGAAAGCCATCATGACCAACAAGAACTTCCATCAATCTCTCATTTAAAGATGCCACTCTACCTAGAGAGTTAGTGTCATTATACAAGTTTCAGGAATGACCGTCGTATCGACAATATCTGACATTAATTCACAGTGCCTCATATTCACGACAGTGTTTAGAGAGAAGTTAATAATATTGTCTTTGATGTCGTACTTTGTAAAATTTTTTTATCATAGATCTCATGTATAGAAGGGCCCATAAGAGGAAAGAGAAGGGGATCACTCTCTCTCTCTTCTTTACTCTTCAACTATCTTCCCTGAAGAGCCTTTGATCTCTCTCTCTCGCCCTAGACCTCTCTATGAAAATTTATCAATTGAAGCAACCTCTAAGAAGTCATCTCCCTCCACTTATCTAGAGGTCAAAAATTGATACTATCCTTAAGGTTTCCTCCAAAAAACTTTTCCATCTTATTCTCTCCTTACATCACTCTTCCCACAAAAGTGGGTCTTTATTAAGTTGTACGTGCCCACAGATAATACAGAATCTACATCCTAAAATGATTCAACAGTCACATTACCTTTGATATTAATTCCTTTTATGACTTTAAATTGACATTGGATAAGGTACAAAACTATAGTTTAATAAGGATTCCTCCAGGTTGATTGGATCAAATGAATTTAAGATCCTTAAAATTTTGTCTATATTTGTCATTTTATAATGATTATTGGTCTTAATTTTTATGTATTATGTGATGATTTTATTTTCTCTAATCACGTGAAGTCAACTTTTTCAATTAATTTTGCAATTGAATGTATGCAGGGAACTTCTCATTCTTTGAGTGACGAGTTCAACCTTATGTTTTATTCTTTTTTATAAACTTTATATGTTTTAGATTAGGAAAATAGATATTGTAGCATAACCAATATTTTTTTAGGGTGAGCAAAATCACCAAATGTTTAAATTTTTTTAAGTGCCAGGCAAAAAAGTTAAGGGAGGGTGAGCGAGCAAAATTACTAAATTGTCCTAACTGCATAACAATATAAAATAAAGTTTTTAATATATATGGAGAAAATTACATATTCTAGAAGTGGCAATTGTCCAACCTGGACATAACTTTATTATACCCTTTTTTCAGGTTACAGTACATTGTCTATTTATTTGTTAACATTATTCAATTACCTTTTTATTGTAAGTCAAACCCTATTTGTTTGAACAACTTCTGATACCTTTTTCAAGCTTATACAAGTTTGAACAATAATCTTGAATTGATCGTAGTTATATTTGAACCATCTTTAAATCCTTTTTAAATCACATTTGAATCTTCGGAACCAATTTTATTTGCTTTTAGCTTGAAATAAGTAACCATAATTTAAAAAGGTAGGTGATTGGGTCCTAAGAAAAGTTGTTATAAATGAGTTACATATAACACGCATGACATAGCATTAGTAAGATTTAGCATGTTATGTAAATATGCTAAATTTTAAATTTACCATGTTATGTAAAAACATTATTTTTTATATCTACAATTAGAGGGTGTTCGGTTGCAAGCTGAATTTAGCGTATGTAGGATTCAGTAAATCCCTTAAATCCATTTTCTCATTGGATTAGCAGATCCATATTTAAGTTGAATAAAAGACAAATTTTAGGCCTTAAATTTGAAAAATCCATAAATCCACGAAACTCACAAATTTTTTTTGCTGGATTATGTCAATCCAGTGGTACATCTTATTAATACATGCTGCCAAGCACCCTCTGAAGTTTAATGCATTACCAAATAAGAAATGCATATCAACAAAAAATTTAATTTGAATCCACTTAATAAGTCTATTTACATAAATATTGCTTGATACAAAAGTTGAACCCTAAATACTTAGCCCTAAACGAAATTTTGTATGACAAATATTATTTTTTAATCACGATGAATCAAACATTATATATTTGAATTTATAGCTTGAAGAATTATTTTTTACTTATTATGAGTCCTTGCAATTATATACTCTCTTGGAATCTATTTTTGTGAGAAAAGACATCATTCACAATCAAAAGAAAATGTGATGGGATCTTAACCCATAAATTAAAATAGATAATAATATTCTCAGAATCACTAATTAAAATTATACATTTTAACAATGAATTTTGCTAAATAAATAAATAAATAATATCACAATTTTTTTTATGTACATATCAAACACCTAAAATTTGATATTTATAATATCACGATGTCATAAATCTATGTGCGAAAATGTAAAATAAGTACTAATACTTTTTTTAGAAATTGAAGATTTGAGTGTTATATATATAAATATTAGCCATTTATATATCAAACACCTAAAATTTGATATTTATAATATCATGATGTCATAAATCTATGTACGAAAATGTAAAATAAGTACTAATACTTTTTTTTAAATATTAGCCATTTACATACATACCACCCAATTCTCATGTATTTATATATCTAACACCCAAGTGTTTTCTTTTATATTTATACCACATAAATATTTTATATCACATAAGAATTGAGCTATTTAGATTTTTAGAAATTGAAATATACTTTTTCATATGGGTGAAATGATGTACATTTAAAAACTAAAGTTTAGAAGGTAGATATGCAAATTTATAAGAATCGAATGCTATGCATGTAAAGATAAACGTAGTTGTGCATTTTAATCGGAGCTCCCGGCCAACAAGATAACTAGATTCGAGTTTCTGCCATCCGCTCCTATGGCGTGCGCTTCTCTTTCTCTCTATCCTTCCCTTATCTGCTCCTGTTCCTTTGCTACAGACACGCTCGCTGCCGCCTCCTTCTATTCCTCCTACTCGCCTTGTGCACCATCCGTACATTTCTTCTGCAGGAAAACGAGACGGAGCAATCGCCGCCGTTTCATCCGATCCATGGCGCCTGATCTTCTCGGCGACTTCGGCGCCAGAGATCCCTTTCCGGCCGAACTCGAGAGCAATTTCTGCGAGAAGGTGGCGGGGAACGAGAACACCGAGCATCGGATCCTTATCCCCAATCTCTCCGTTTTATCCCTAGCTCAGCGGAGTTGCGAGCCGGTTCAGTCCTCTCAACTCCCATTGTATAAGGAGGATGCGAAGAAGCTTTTGAAGAAGGTAAGGCTTTTGTATGTTTTTCTTAGGTCAAGGTCTAAGCATTTTGAGCGGTCGAATGGGCTCTTTTTTTGCTGAGCACGGAAGGCATTATTGTTTCTTCTTTCGTGCTGGCCTTGAGGTTTTTCGACGTCGATACAGATCAACTTCGGATTTTATCATTTATGGAATCATGTAATCAGTTATTATTGCCTACTGCCAGCTTCTCTTCAATCATCCACCTTCACAATCGAACTATCCAATATCACCATTCTCATCACTGCTAATTGCATCACATGGAACTTTCATGTCCTCGCTCATTTTGAAGGACATGAGCTAGAAGGTTCTTCTAATGTACTCACCCCTACCCCTCATTCACCATCACCACAAACAACATTCTCTTCCCATGATACATGGAAATATCACATACACATTATCTTTAGTTTTCTTCTTGGAGCAGTTTCCTTTTCCATTCAACTTTCTATCTTGCACTACCACACTCCAAAAAACTATGAAACAGCCTTGCTAATGCTTATACCGAACCTTCTTGCGGTCAGATCAAGCAAATAAAAGAATAACCCAAGAACAACATTGATGGTCTTTCAACATGACCGAATACATGATAAGAATCGTGGCTATGAACCGGTGATTCTAGGCAAGCCCATTGACAACGAAGTTGTCATTGGAAAGATTTCTAAGTATTTATTTACAGAGTACCACATAATCGTCGAGGTAATAGATGTCAGTGAGACCTTGGTCTTCTTTGATGGGCTTTATGAAAAACTCATGACAACCTTTATTAATGTTTATCCTTTAAGGGGAAGGATGATAATACGAGGGTGTAATTCTTGCATAATATATTTTACCAGAAGATATAAGAGATGAGGTCAAATGATGCAGGGCCAATGATTTTAATTTGAAATTGTGTAAAATATTCGCAAGACTCATATCATCACAATCAAGTTAAGTCTAAGTAGAGATCCTTGGTTGATCACTTCCACCAAGGGAATAAATGTTTTACGGTTAATAATACTCTAGGCCTCTAAGCGGCACCTCAATAATTGAAACTTATTTTTATTTTGATTTGATTGAGTTAACATCTAGAGTAAACAATTTTTTAAGAACTATTATCTAAATATGGTAGTTTATACTTTGATACTAATCGATTCTCAAGTCAGAAAGTGAATCACTGTAACCAAGTGAGACTTTTTTTGCACATAGAAAACCCATGTGATAACAATCATTGAATCACAAAAGAATCAAGAGGGGCACAAAATGGCTAAAAAAGGGTGACTCGTAGAGATAAGAAATCTTGAAAATATCGAAACAATTTAGTCAAAAATTCATGAATTTGTCATTTTAAGTTATCAATAGCTAAAACACTTAGCTATAAAAGTAATCGACCTAACTTGGCTATGAGACATTTTGTAAACAATTTTAAATTGCATCGTATGGAGTGCACGTCATGATTTCAAGAAATAATAGGAAAAAATCTGACAAATATGATTTTTTAGGTCGTAGATTTCAAAATATGAAAGATTTATAATTTTCAGAGGTATAAGGAATGCCTATAAATAGAGGCGAATGAGATAACTCAGTTATGCACAATTATAGCTACTCAATTGGCCTTATAACTCTATTTAGATTATGTTAGCCAGTATTTAGTATAATATATATTCACTTAGGTGTACTTAATTAAATTATGCTCTCAAGTTAAAAGCTTTATCTTATAGGATTTGATACGAATGCAATGTTATAAGTTTTTAATTGATGGGGTTTGATTACATGAAATTGATTGGCTGTGATATGAATATGCATTGGCTAAAGGATTTCATTGTCAACAAGCTTATTCTGTGAGAGGAGATTGAATGCTTATACCATTTTTTTGGTCCATTAGGGTTAAGTTTGGGTTAGGTATAACTTAGGGTCATCTATGGTCAATTTTATAAAGAGATTGGATTTTGAAATAAGAGTTGAATAATCAAGATTCTCCTTCTATGGTATTTTCTAGGTTCAATGGGTCATATGATTTAGTCCTTTGTAGCTCATGCTATGAGTTATAATATGGTTTCTTGTTAAGCTAAAACTAGGATTGAAGCTTGCAATGAAATAAAAAATTTAATTGAATTGAAAGACGAGGAATGACTTGAATCATTACTAGAATGAGCCAGTGGATCAAGCAAAAAGTACGAACTTAGTTAAGTGAAGTAACCAAGATTGAGCATGACTATGTTTTTATAGCATGAGAAGCAACATGAATTTTTCAAACCCAAGTATCAAATGTCATTTGGAATATTTATATTTTTGATACTTACAAGCACCGCCACCATCCCTACCTGCCAATACTGATCTCATTGCTCACCAAAACAAACAATCTTGGTACCTATCCTACACCGAATCTTCTATGTTAGGCCACAAAATTGTGCACCTTATTGTCATCATTCATCACCTTGGCCATGTATTGGCTATTGGCGCTATTTCATCATCTCATAATCAATATTGGACCATCATGATAAAGTTCGATGTAGAAATCCACACAGATGGAGAGACGACGTCTAGGGTGTGGGAGGGATTATCTACCTCTTGAATAGTAGATCAGTCTTGTATCTTGCTTGTTTTCCTTTGATTTTTGTATGAGCAGCCTTTAATTATGTTTTTCCAACTATCTAATGTGATTTCATCGTGGTTTGTTTGCTGATTCTGGTGTCGAGGTGTATTAAATTGGTATCAAAGCCTAGATCTCGGCGGGATGACACCAAAGAAAGTTGATGTGCTAGAAGGAGAGGTGGAGCAAATTCGATCTGGAATGGAAGAAATGTTTGCTACCATGAAGGACGAATTTTCTTTTACTGAAAGTTGAATGAATGATATATTTAAAGGCATAGGGGAAATGCGGGAGATGATGAAGAAACTCACGCAGATGCAATCCAAGGTTGTACCGCATAGGGGAAATGCGGGAGATGATGAAAAAACTCACGCAGATGCAATCCAAGGTTGTACGGACCTCTCCAACTGCAAACTCTAACTAAGTGTTGATCAGAAGGCATCATCTACCTACAAGAGCGTCCCTCTAGGACACTGTCTAGATGAAAGGGAGTGAAGACTTTCAATGGAGGGGGATGGGCTGAAAATTGGAGTAGGGATGGTGGAAGGGGCACAGAAGAGTATGATGGAGGAAGGAGGGAGTCAGGAGTGGGATATGCCCATGATTGCAGGAGGGAGTTTCACCCTAGATATACTGGGGAAAATTCCAGAAGGAGAGAAAGTTGGGTTGGAGATGCAGGGGTTAGGAAATTGAAGATGCCAATCTTCGAAGGGGAGGATGCACATGGATAGATATATAGGGCGGAGCGATACTTTGTGATCAATGGGTTAACCGATGAAGAGAAACTTATGACAGCGGAATTATGCTTGGAGGGGAGGTCTTTAGCGTGGTGACAGTGGATGGAGGCAAGATATTCGATACACTCATGCGAGGAATTTAAGGATTGCTTGTTGGAATATTTCTGAGCGCTCAGGAAGGAGTTCTACACGAGTAATTATATGCTCTAACTCAGAAGGGGACGGTTATGCAATACTGAGAGAAGTTTGAGCTTTTGCCAGGGAGGTTGGGGATTTCTACAGCAAACTTGGAAGGGAATTTCTTGAACGTTCTGAAGCCCGACATACGAAAGACCATCATCCCCTTGAGACTGCGTGGATTAATGGAAATGATGGAGCTCGCATAGATGATGGTGGATAAGAAACAGGTGAAGAAGTTCGAAGAAGGCGGCAACACCGGGGGATTTTACAAGAACACCGTGATAGCCACGACACCGAGGACCCAAACAATGTTATTTTAGAAAGAAAATTCGTAGGAGAAGAGTACCGGACCCCGGGGGCAGTTTTATGCGCCTCACTGATGCATAAGTGCAGGAAAAGAGTCAACGGATTGTGTTACCGTCGTGATGAGAAATACGCCACAGGGATACAAAGAGTGAGGACTCAGAAGAGGAACCAGCGGAGGAGGAGCAGCTGCATTTGGATGTGGCGGAGGTGTCCGTCGATTCGGTGGCGGGATTACCCTAAATCACACCATGAAAGTTAGGGGTGGATCAGAGAGCAGTAGATTGTGGTATTGGTGGATAGCAGGGCCACACATAACTTGATCTCAAATTTGGTTGTGGAGAATCTAAGGTTGAAGCTGGTAACTACAGGGAGCTTTGACGTCATGATGGGGACAGAGAACGTGGAGAGACATAGGGGAATTTGTAAGGAATTGATTCTGACAATACATGGCTTAAAGGAAGTGGATGACTTCCTTTCTTTAGATTTAGGTAACACATACGTAATTCTTGGGATGAAGTGGCTATTGGGAGAGATGAAGGTGGATTGGTAGTCTTTGGCGATGGAGTTCCAAGTGGAGGGTAGGAAGGTGGTGCTGAGAGGAGATGCTAGCGTATGCAAAACCATGATGTCGCTCAAAATCATGATCAGGTCAATTCGGGGAGTAGGACTGGACTACTTGGTGGAGTTGCATGGCATTGAGGAAGTTCAAGATTCAGAGTTGATAGAATTTTCAGAAGTGGACTAGCAACTCCTACAGTAGTTTACTGATGTTTTTCAACAGCCAAGCGGGCTACCCCCTCGAAGGGAGCACGAGCACCATATTACATTGAAGAAGGGTGTTTCTCCCATTAGCGTCAGACCATATAGGTACCCTCAAATTTAGAAGGATGAGATAGAGAAACTGATTTAAGAGATGCTTGAGGCTGGGATTATCATGCCTAGTGTGAGCAATTTTTTCAGTCCCATCCTGTTGGTGAAGAAAAATATGGTAGTTGGAGATTCTGCGTGGACTATCGGGTTTTGAATAATGAAACAACGTTGAAGAGATTTTCTATTTATGTGATTGATGAGTTACTGGATGAGCTTTACGGAACAGTTATTTTTTCAAAAATTGATCTGAAGGCGGGGTCAGGATGAATCCGATGGATGTACACATGAAAACATTCAGGACACATGGACATTATGAGTTCTTAGTG